ATCAAAATTATTTGAATTACTGTACGAACTACGAATCCCAGAAATAACGCAATTAAGTCCAAATAGGACTAGATGAGTACAAATGAACGTATTGTATTTGGAATTCGAAATCAGACATTCATCAAGTACAAAGGAATCACTAGTTCATACATACATCACAATCGTCACAGCCCAAATGAGAATTCAAATTTCGGAAGTCGATTATACCTCTTCTTCTTAGGTTCATCATGAGTCTGTCCGACTGTGTACGGAATGTAGACTTGTACTATGATATTAGTACTGCTCTAATAATAGACCTAATCCTTAAATTTTAGGTTTGTCATGATACAACTGCCTAATCTATAAGATCTTACGTAGAAGTCACACCATCGACTACACCAACTCACTGTATCGTATCAATTACCAATACATGATGCAGAACATTGTTAGGCTAGAGAAGGGACAATTTATTTAATATGAATAGAAGATATAAGGTAACATTCAGGTGTACCACGCCTGCATGGTCGAGCCATGCCATTCAATCAACTCCAATTCATTCAATTCATTATTCGCGCCTTCTCCATCGTTAGGTGTTTCTTCTCGTTAAATGTTGAATATCTATTTTCCGAGTAATCTCGTATTCAGCTTTGACGATTGTGTGGTTATGGTCCAATGCCACTGCAGACTCTGTATGACGTAGAATATACTCAGTAGTATTAGATTTAAGAACTGACATTGGAATGAACTCACCTGGGTCCTGGAACTAAATATGATCAACATGTCGGCTGTGCACTAAAATTATTGATATCTATAATTTTAACCTTAGATTTATTTCGAAATCGAGCACTCAACAATTACAAAAGAATCTTTAGTTCGTTCAAGCACCACAAAAAAACACATGAATTACATGAGTGTAATAAATATAAACGTGGTTAGATAAAAATTGTGACAATTTAGCGAAAAGGTTTTGATTTTGTTGTTACAAAAATCATTGAATATACATGATGAAGAACATACTTAGGCTAGTGATAGAACAATATATTTGATATGAATAAAAGGCGTATGTTACCACTCAATAATAATCACGTCTGCAAGGCCGAGCCATGCCGTCCGATGGATTCGGACCAATTCAATTCATTGTTCTCGCCTTCTCCACCGTTGTGTTTTTCTCCTCGTTAAATGTTAGATATACATCTTCCGAGTTGTCTGGTGTTCAGCTTTGAGGATTGTACGACTAGGGCCCGCCGCCACTACAAAACCGCAACATTCAGCAAACATACACGTCTTATTTTTATCAAACTGTTTCTACCCGGAGGATTCATACTAATCGTTTGGTAATCTATGGCTCGAAACTACTCCTAACGTGTTTGGTACGGAGTCGAACGGTCGTTGAATCTGGTGGGTGAGTAATGTAGGGCCAGCGAAATGTCACTAAGCCCTAGCCAAATCATCCGGCAGCTGGGTCATTGAATATCGAATAAATCATCGATCCTCGTCAAGGTCAGGGGCGACCAACACGCATCAGTTAATCGTATGCCATGGATTGGCCGATGCGGCAGTGGTCTTACTTTCGCTTGTATCAACTTTAACTAGTATATCTCTGTAATAACGTCCTCTGTGTTGTACAGTCTTCAAAGCATCTATGATACCTTGATACGTCAATGGGGTAGTCCACGTAAGATGCTGACCACGAGGTGTGACTTCGACGTTAGCTGGTTTGTCACACCATGCCCGTATAATTCGAGTAGGTCTTCAATCATTTCGACACAGATCATCTACGTTGGCGATCTACACTACTTTTACGGGTTTTGTGCGTGATTGTCTGTCGATTATTATTTTATCCAATGCCTGTCTCTTTGACGCACTACAATTTGTCTATTTTGAGCTACGTTAACACTTATCATAAATTGTACTGCGAGTTGGCATGTTTGTCTTCTCCGCTTTGTTTCTTTTACTGTTTCCGTTTGGTGTCGAGAGTATGAATCATACGTATTTTAAGTTCATTCTCCTAGTTGACTTATTTTATTACTCTACTCTCTAATGCGAAATACTTCGTTAATTGTATACGAGGGTAGTCGCCATACACATCTCGTTAACACCATCACACAGTAAAATCGGACTCAGATCAACTAACCGCAATAATTATCGTTGATATTGAAGGGGTCGGTAAACCATCCGAGTCCCAGTGACAGGATTGATAAATGATGTTGGTAGGACCGTGACGCTTTACTTTCTCCACAGACACGTTGATTCTTGCCACATGATGTTTAGACCATCGATACGTGCTATTAATATTCAAGAATAGCACCTTCTATTTATGAGGTCACCACGGAGATATCAATCGATCCTAACAATACAGACTTATTGATAATGTTCTAAGAACGCGTTTGAGTACCTAGAATCACACAAAATTAACAAGAAGTGAGTGCAAAGAGATCAATCAGTTTATACAAACTCGTGACCAAGATATTGTGTATTGTATTTAAGCGCCATGTTTATAAATTGCGGTACTTGAGCCTGACGACAGAAATACTTTATGGCTGATTCTTCTGTGAGTCACAACCCTTGGTGGAGTTTCTTTGTTTGGTTCGTTGCTGTTAACTGTTGGCCATTACTGTAAATCTCAGTTTACAAGGCTTGCTAAGTTTGTACATAAGACGCATCTACTGTACGATGTACTGCGCTTGGGTCAATAATGTAGGGACTTATCATCATTGTGCTTTATCTATCGTTTTGAATTCTGCTCATGTGTTCAACCTGAAACACCGTCAATAAATTTGAAAATATCCTATCACATTGATACGATACCATTCCATTGCCAGAACTATGTGACATGTCACATAATACTGTCGATGGATTTCTCTGTAGTAGTTGCCATTATAGTTATTTAATAAAAGTTTATGTATTATTTAGCCAAAAACGTCACTGGCCATCGAACGTAAGCATTCCGGTCTTATTTCACAAAACGGGAATCTATGTATGGAGATAGAGAATTTAGGGAAAAACGTTGGACATTCCAGAATTATATATATGTACGACAATAGTGGTAACTTTGATCCCCCCATTAACTTTGATATTCACTCTTTACACACAAAAATAGTTTTATTTACTATTCGTTATTGTAAAGAACTCGAAATATAATACCTCGTCAATTCTTCACTGATAGTCACTTACCTAACCTGACTGAATTCTAAATTGTAATTCGTAATTGTAGAAAACTGAAATAGGTTTTTGTTGTCTCTATGTGCGTTTCTACAAACTACCACTTGGATCCTGTTAAGTGGGTAATTCTATCATCAACCAAGATGTTAGGCAAAATTAGTTTACAATGTCATAGTGCCATATACAAATGTAGATTTGCAAGTTAGGTATCTCCATCCCAGAACCAATAATTGGTTATATTAATCCATGAAGCGGTGGTAAGTTTAACTTTTGTATGGTTATTAGTAAGATGAATTATGGTAGCATACCGATTACTTCTGTTGTGGCGACTGTGGCGAGACTATAATTTAGCGACGACCTTTGAACGAATCTTAAATGACTTTGACAATTATTAGCCAATCAGGAGACAGTAACTATAAAGTGAAAATATATTGTAAGTAATGAATTACAGTGGATATTCTTCTTTTACATGATTTAGAAACTTGTTTAGGTTTCATAAAGGTTCAGAGGTTCTGAATTCATAATGCATATGGCGTAGAAACTCGTCCATAGGATTAGGGTTTAGGTTAGGGTTGTAGCATCTCAATAAACACCTCTTCTATAAAATCCGATGTAAACCGATTGCATGTTAGCACCCTAACCCCTAACCTAACCCTAATCTTAGACCTAACACTAACCCTAGCCTCTAACCCTATGGACGAGTTTCTATACCATGTGCATTATGAATTCAGAACTTCTGAGCCTTTATCAAACCTTAACAAGTTTTCAAATCATGTGAAAGAATATCCACTGCAGTTCATTACTTTCTTGTAATATATTTTTGCGTTATATTGTCTTCTGATTGGCTAATAATTGAAATTGCTCAAACGCTTCTGATTGGCTCGTCCCTAAATTAGAGCCTCGCCGTCCCATCTGTTGTAACCTCTCATTAATCACCTCCTCTCTAAAATCCGCTGTGAACTGATCGTATGTTAGCATCGCGTGTTGAACTTGGCTCCGTGACCTTGAAATTGCTCACACGCTTCTGATTGGCTCGTCGCTAAATCAGAGTCTTGCCGCGACTGTTATCACTACTTAATTGTCCTAATTGTGAGAGACTGAGCTAATTTCATTGAATTTATAACTACATTTACATCCATTGCACTTCTGAACAATTTTGCAGCAACTTGATGCGGAATGCGTTGACATTCGTCAGATGTTAATTCGCAGCCTCAATCAGTGTTATAAGACATCAACTCTTATTTTCCAATGCTTTCCATCATCCTCAAAAGCCTTTGCACACCGTGAGATTTCGCATATAGTTTAACGAACAGTTGTTTAGAGATAACAGCGATTGAATATCTTTAGCTGGAGTATATCGGAAAAGCTGCTTTTACTGATAAACACTAATTTCTCTCACAATGTGCCATTGGTCACTTTTTCAGACTGCATCGTTTTGTTAGTGTTGTTGCATTCGGAGTAGCTTTCTCAGTTATCTTTACTGTGAGTAAGAATCTCAAGGATAATACTTTATTTAGGATTCTTAATAAATTATTCATTCGTGTGCTGTGTAAAAGGTTATGCGCTACATATAGCTAACGTTTTATAATTAGTTATGTGGTTTGCGATTTTAGTCAGGTGCTTGACTGTATCATCACCCTTCTCAACTATCTAGTTTGTTACACTTCTTGTCATAAGAACTGTTAGATAAACAAGTCAAGTAACCCCGCAAAATGTCACGCTAAATTATGTAAAATTATTGATTTTTTTCTGGGGATTCAGCATACTATCAATGTACCGAATTTAGCTTTTCCATGATTTGCTTCCATTGTTAATTTTAGATAAGTTGCTCAGATAAATTGACAGTTTAGTTTGATATAATGGAGGGTATTTTGTTAAAATGGACAAATTATGTTAGTGGTTGGCAACAACGATATTTCATTTTGGACGATGGAGTTCTGTCGTACTATCGATCCAAAGAAGAAATGAATAGTGGATGTAAAGGATCGGTCAAACTATCTGTGTGTGATGTTATAGGTGAGTTTCATGTAAATACTGCTAGTTTATTGCATACAAATAACGCAGTTCATAGTTCTGATCCACGAAGATTTGATTTGATCCTTGGTGAACAAAGATATTATTTGCGTGCTTTATCGCGGGCAGATCGACAGAGATGGGTTATAGCACTTGGTAGTTCAAAAGTAGGCACTGCACAATTAAAGTCAGAAGACGTAAATATATATGGTAAGTTTAAATATATATTTGATTTCCTCTCATTGACTAACTCCAAACTTTGTACGTATACTTATATTTTCATTTTCGGATTTTTTATTTTATTCATAACACGTGATCGGTAATCAATTATTCTGCTTCATTCCTGTATTTCTTGGAGTAGCTCTTAATAATACCCACTTTTTCAAATCAAATAAGATAAAATGGTCGGATTTAAATTTAGGACTGAACTGTTTGAAGTTGAGTGTTTTAACCAGTAAGCCATGGATCCTTAAACTATGTGAGGATTACTTTTAATTCCTCCTACGTAATACATTTCTTTATTTATTTTAACACAGATATTGATACAAAGAGGCACCAAATACATATGCGCCACACAAGTCTCATTCGATATGTGTGAGGGCTGTAATACTGCCCGGGTGCCCAAACCGAAACGGATGGTTTTCTTAGGGGGCCACACCCCGAGTCTTTGACTTAAAGGTCTAACCCACAAGGCAGTGGAGCATCGTAAGGAGATGCAGTCCCATGGAAGCCGGTGACCAACGATTGGTTCATACGCCGTTTGTTCCCGCAGGATACTGGAGCCCATATGCACCATTGGTTTGGGATGCGGTTAAAGCGATGGATATTCACTTTTCGTCCTCTCATTTTCGTAAACAACACCCTCGCCACGAGAAGGCAGTGAGTATGACTTCCCTGGCAGAGGATGTATACGTGTGGCCATGTGAGAGCATTTGGAGAGGGAGAGCAGACTCCTCACTCCTTGCCATACCAGGGCATTTGGGGGCTACGTAATACATATCACATAGAGTAGCAATGAAATATATACTCCAATTCATTAGTCTATCTATAATATGAATAATGCGGTGCTGAAATATATTTACAACCTAAGTTAGTCAGAGCAGAAATAAATTGTTTTTTAGACATCCGACTTTCAGCCGTTCAGATAGTCGTTTTCAACATATCTACACTTTCCAATATGGAGTTGTGGAGATTGTTGTGTTTGACTAAAATCATGAGTCGATCTACATTTAATAATATTTTATTAACCATATAGTTTTATTGCTCATTATATGATAAACGTGGCTTAATCAGCTCGTAAGAAACGGGTTCTCTTATTCAATTTAATCAGTGGAATAATAAAGTAAATCGAAATTAATCCTACTGACTGGCGAATTATTAAATACGAAAAATTGCTTATTCATTGTTAGAACCTTCACAGACCCAATTAATCGACAATCATCGTTCTGAATTGCGTCTTTATCATAACTTAATGGTACAACAAGTCAAAGAGATTCAAAGTGAACTAAAAGAAGGTACGGTCCCAGATATGAATGTAAGTTTTTGGTCTTCTAATTTCTGTTGATTTAAGTTTTTATCGTTGGTTTTTGTTCTACTAAATTTTTTAAAAACTGTAGTCACTATTCTCAGTATTGAGTTCAATCTAAGTATTTCCATACATCAGTAAGGGTATTGGTCACAGTAGTGTACTGGATTTTCACAAACACGTGTGATACAACATTTGATAAACATCTTGTAAATGAATCTAATAAAAGCAGAAATCGCAGTTTCTTAAGTGAATTTGAGCGATGTATATTGGTGAGTCGAGCTGGCTGTCAGTCACTGTGATCATGACATCTTTCTCACTAGCTAATTTCAACACCAGTGACCTTGAGTGTATTCCCTAATTATTGCAATCATATATATGTGCAGCGTACTAAGCAACCTTTTTTGTCTTGTCTATTCTGTTGGCCGGGTTTATTAGTTTGATAATTAACATATTTGGATCATTTACAGGTGCAAATTTGTTATCGGGTAATTTGTATCAAGATAAATAATGAGTTAATCGGCTAATTGTGTTTTATGGGTTTTTAAAACAAAGAAGTTGACGGAGATCATCGATCATGAGTTTCACTGAATATGGTTTCTAGTCAGTTTTCATACTTCTTAAAACAGAAGTAATGTTTCTTTTCTCTAGTCAGACTACCCTTCCTTCTATCAAATTTTCTCTCTCCTTATCCTTAAACAATAAATAAGCTTGTTGTAATATAAATAAACATCTGTTAGATAACTGTAAGATATCTTGTAGGAATCCCCTTTTTCAAATAGTGATGGTAGTGGTCAATACTCGGGCCCAGGATGCGCGTTTCATCCTATACGGGAATCGCTAGCTGGATGTATCTTCACCTCAGTGTTGATGTTCATACCAGTGCTCGAACCCAGTGCCTCTCTCTTTGGACGCCGATGCATTATCCACTGAACTGTCTAACTCGTTACAGTTGAAAGTTAGACAGCAGTAACCTTGGGGTGTTACTGCGTTAGAATTCGTGAAATTGTTCCTTTTGGGCCACAGTTAGCGGAGATAGTACTATCCCGTTTCTATTAATTCATTTATTACACTTATTTCCTTGGTTCAAGGGAGTACCAAAATGTATATAAACCACGCCTCATCGAACTTGTATGTGGATTGGAATACTGCCCGAGTGCCCAAACAGAAGTGGTTTTTTAAAGAGGCGCACACCTCGAGCCTTTGGCCCAAAGAAAAAACGGACTGTTCCAGCCCTTGACTATTTCTACGTGTTTTCGTTTCTTTATATAATTCCGTTTTATTGTAACATTTCACACATTTTTTAGTCTCCATTTTCTCAATGTTCTATTCGCATTAATGTACTGATTTTTTTAATACTCCATGTTGAAAAACATTTTTATGGTGCTCCTATTCAGTGATTCTAACAATAACTATAATCTGTCCCAACACTAGTTTACAAGATGTTTCTGTCTCCTCTCTTCTTAAGGTAACTAAATAATTACTACTAATATTCAGTAAATGACTGTTTATTGTTCAATAAACGCTGCCTTAACAAGTTACATATCAGTCAGTTAGTCATAGAGAGCAATAGATGTGTATAATATTTTGTGGAACTCTTGAATAGACGAGCTTACATTTAACCAAACGATTTGAAATTCGCATATAACCTAGTCCTTTTATCCAACACGAGCAAATGCAGGTTAAGACAACCAGGGTAGCAACAGTTTCTGCATCAGTACATCTCAACATATACAAGGGAAAAAGCAAGATCCTTAAATACAACATGGAAAACACCACAATCACACTTGATGGAGAAACTCTGGAAGAGATATGAATCAACTGTAACTATTTTATAAACTAGCCAGTGGCTCAGAGGTTAAGGCAATCAATTTTTAGCCAACATTTTACAGCTTCGAACCCTAATTCACGTAATTGTGTTTAGACAAGCGGATAGTAGTATCATTAGCTCTCGTAGAGTGGAGCTGGAAGTCAAGTACACAAATCTGTACCTGTTAAGTGTGTCACTTAATAAAGAATATATCAACGGGTCATCTAAGCTTTTAATTATCACGAAAAAACAAATAATAAACTAGGTTTTGTCATTATGTTGCACCTAATATTCTCCGGATCTGACGCTATGTAATTTTAAGTAACACTCTTAGCTGTATTGCTGGATAATTGTTTTGATTCTTTTTGTCTGTTTATCAACCATTAATTTTCATACAATTTTTATCAGTAACTGTTTCATTCATGATTAAGTCAACTACATAGTTCACGACTTCTCACTAGAACTAGTTCAGAGTAACTCAGATCGTAGTTATATAATAGTGAGTACATAATTATTGGAAATAGTAAATGTAAAACTGAAATTATAAACCAGTCAATTACAGCTCACTAATTTAACGGTTACATATACTCTGTTATGATACATTAAAAGTTTAAGTTCTTTTATATGTAGAGTTGTGGCTGTACATTATAAAAAGGTATCAAGCTTAAATGCTCACTGCTGAGGAGTTCCACAATAGAAAGAAACAGCCGTTCAGTACTTCCAGGTTTTCCATGATGGTTTAACTTCAATGGACTCATGATCTCAACCATTGAAATTACTATCATATTCATAAAACCCCTCTGACATAAAACAATTCACTCAATGGCTACTATATTTCAAGAACTGTCAAATAACCCAATGATTATTTTAAAAATAAACTATGAAATCGAATCTATCATGATCTATGTTATGTTGTAATTAACACATTATAGACTAATATTTAAGTAGTATAATGATAGTCAACATTCTCTAATATGTATTTACTAATTATTTAATGTCAATATATTTTAACTGGAATTTGGACAAGTAAATTTTATATTTGGTATGTTTGTTATAATTAAAAAAAGCAAATAGTAAACTATTATTCAATGATAAATGTGAAATTATTTCAAATAGTGACTATCTTCGATAGTTTAAGTAGCAAACTAATCGTTTTTTATTTTATTTATCATTTATTTGAACACATAAATATTGGTACAAGAGGATACCAAATATATATGCGCCACACGTGTGTGGGCTCTGATGCTGCCCGGGTGCCCAAACAGAAACAGGTGATTTTCGTAGGGGGCCACACCCCGAGTCTTTGACTTAAAGGTCTGACCCACAAGGCAGTGGAGCATCGTAAGGAGATGCAGTCCCATGGTAGCCGGTGACCGACGATTGGTTCATACGCCGTTTGTTCCCGCAGGATACTGGAGCCCATGTGCACCATTGGTTTGGGATCCGGATAAAGCGATGGACATTCGCTTTTCGTCCTCTCATTTTCGTAAACAACACCCCTGCCACGAGAAGGCAGTGAGCAGAACTTCCATAGCAGAGGCTGCATACGCGTGGCCGTGTGAGAGCATTTGGAGAGGGAGGGTGGGCCCATCACACTGTCGGCCATACCAGGGCATTTGGGTGCTATTCACAGTTATATAATATACCCTTGTGGGCCAGGGTAATATTACATTGGTTTTCAGGAGAAACAGACACCATCTGGACTTTCACGTGACAACCCAAACATTACAGCTCAACTCCGTTTAACAGGAGAGCCAGACACCACCCAGGCCTAAATTTTGTAAACTGAGCAGTACAGCTCAATCCCACTTCACAGGAGAACCAGACACCGTATAGGCTTTGACGCTACAATCTGAATAGTACAGCTCAATCCTGTGACGCAACCACACAGGTACCAAGCACACTGGTGAACCAAATCGTTTTTAGAGATTCGTTGGAAATTAGGAAGGATTAAACAGCTTTTTCGTTGTAACATTTGGTACATCCATATTTCTGCCAGGAACTGTACTCTGAATGTTCATGTTTTAAGTTGAGCTTTTAACCGGAAGCAAATGGAGTTAAGTTCGAGCTTGAAATCTAATGTTTCATAGCCTAACGAAATATCATTGTTTATATAAAATATTTATGAAAATGTCTTGCCGTGTAGTAAAATTGTATCACTCTAATTATTTTCTCAGAAAAATATAGTTACTTCTCTCTAACTCTTATAATATCAGTGTCTTGATTAATCCTCATTCATTCGTACCTAAACTGTATTGGAAAGTATCAAATTTGTCGAACATACCGATTTATACAACATATTTTTTGAATGTTGGTCACTGAATTTTTGTTGTTGTTGCTAAAATCTTATCTGCGTTATGTTCTTTGAATTCCTAATTCATTTACAATTCATAGATCTATTCATTTGTTTAAATTCTTCAATTCAACAGACATATTAGAATTCCATAAATTCTTTATTGATTTGAACTTGTCCAACAGAAATTAATCGGTTACAGGCAAAAAAAATAGTCAATACAGAAGAAAATTAGGTATCTAAATAGCTTTAGAAAACTAAAGATTAAAATGCGGTAGAAGAACAGATTGAATACACAATTATAGCTTCTCTAAATGTACAACAAAAGTTTCCGCTGTGCTAAAGAGACTAGACCTCAGTTTATCAAAGATTAATTTTATTTCAATTCATCTTGTTGATGAATTTAAACTGTGGATGCGTTTTAATGTGATGACATGTGTTTACTAGGTGTTCGATTATGGAGCTGCCTTTGAATTTATTGTTGTCTCTTTTCAATCACATCAGATAATGATCTTTAATTATCTTGGATGAAACGCTCACTAAACGACTTATATATCCATCTCCATAGGAGCCGATGAGTTGATAACCACATGTAGAAATGATCTGATTCAAGAGCTTATAGTTCAAGCTATTTGTGAACATAGATAAGTTGGCTGGATGAAAGCACCATTGTCTGTTCAATGTTTCATCCTATGATGTTCTAATCCTATTCCTATGTATAAATCAGGTATTTAAACCATATATTCACCAACAGTTTTGTTATTGTAGAAATTAATTTCTGATATTTAATTTTCCACTTTCGTTTTGCTTTAATCAGCGTATTGATGAATTAACTGGTATGTTAAACGCATCTTGCTCCACATTTTTAATAACTTTGGATGAATTAATGATTTTAAGTAATGCACAAGCTCCATGGTTAAGTTCCATTGTAACAGGAACAACATTGGAAACAAGTCCTACTATATTTCGAAATACACCATGTCTTACCAATACAGATCCTTCTAATATACATTCACCAAATATGAGGCAAGTTTAATTAATTATACAGTTGACTCCATTTATCTTTTGATCTCATGTTTAAAAGGATTGGGTAAAGCTGAATTATACAATCGAGCCAATAATCAAGAAGGATCAAGATATTTTGAGGCCAAGGCGTATTTTATCAAAGTAGAATGTTATTTGTTGAAATGTGATGATTAGTTTTAACATTGAAAGCATTTAAGTTTAGATTTAAGACTAAGATTTAGAATTTAGAGCTTAGGATGTATGATCGGGGTTTGAGTTATGATTAGGTTGTAGAGCTTAGAGTTGATGCTTACAGTTAAGATTTAGGATAATCATTTATATATAAGCTGTGACTGGTAAGATTCAGTTGGATTTGAAATAAAACAACTGGTACGTTTTGTATTGGAGTGTTAAGCCACGAACTTTCTAATCACTTTCTAGTTCCTGAAGTTGTTCAACTTTCAAACTCTTAGTTGGAAATAAAAATGTGAACTATGAAGTAAACTTTATTCCAAAGATTAATTAGTACAGAGAAAAAGCTGGTGTATTTATAGGCTTACACATGTAATTTTGAAATTGAAGAACTAGTTAAAACAACATTTGTAGAACAGTGAATGCAAAGCTCACTTTTACATGAAGTAAACGATACTGATGTTCTCCAGAGAATAGCATTGAAAACCCCACAATCGAATAATCTATTCGGTTCATAGGATACAATATGATACTGTTACTCCTCGTTGAGGAGATTAGGGAATCCACCAGTATTCTCCATGCAACTTTGTCCCGGACAATCCTTTCCAGTTTTTTCCATTTGCTATTCATCCTTCTAATATGTGCTTCCAATTCCCAGTGCAGTGTGTTCTTTGACCTTCCTTTCTTCAGTTTCCCTTCACAAATCCGAGTTAGCGATTGCTTCGTGATGCAGTTTGAGTATTTCTTCAATGTGTGTCCTATCCATCGTCTTTCTTAATTTCCTCTTCAAATGGAAGTTGGTTGGTTCTCTACAACAGTAGGTTAATGCTGATGGTATCCGGTCAACAAACATTGAGTATTTTACGTAGATAATTATCTATAAATACTTGTACTTTGTTGATGACGGTTGTAGTAGTGCTCCAAGTTTCATCTCCGTACACTAGAACTGTCTTGACGTTCATATTGAAGACTGTGACTTGGTTGGTTGACCGATATTTATTTAGAGTTCCACATGTTCTTCAACTGTAGGAATGTTGTCCTTAATTTGCCAATCTTCGCATTTACGACTGAATCAGATGCTTCATATTCATCGATGATTCTTTCCAGATACTTGGAACTTTCCACCTCTTCCAGAGTTTCTCCATCAAGTGTGATTGTGTTGGTGTTCTTCGTGTTGTACTTGAGGATGTTGCCTTTTCCCTTGTGTATATTGAGATCTACTGATTCAGAGACTGTTGCTACACTAGTTGCCTTCATCTGCATTTGTTCATGTGTATGAGGACTAGGTGATCTGCGAAGTCCAAATCGTCTAGTTGAATGCAAGGTGTATATTATATTCCGTATTTCATCTCAGATGTCGACGTCTTCATAATCCAGTCGACCATTAGAAGAAAGAGGAAGGTAGAGAATAAACCAGCTTAATTGACCAACCAAACATTTATTATAATGATTGGTATTAGCAGTAGTAATATAATTATTTATAATAATGATGTTTATTGTAATGATGGATAAGTATTATATTTAATAACCAATCCATTCTTAACTTCTACATTTCATCTTTAGTAATAATCTTTGTTCTTCATTGACAAATGATCCTATCTTTCGAAATTCACATGCACAATCATCATTGAATCGCCGTCACTTCAATGCTACACGAAAATATCAAACTTTTTTCTCTACTTTAGAATATAGGTAAGTCGATATTTCACCAGTAAAAACTAGTTTGTTATTGATAATTCTAATTTAATTTACGTACAATTGATAGATCATAGAGTAGTGACCAATGTCATGTATGTCAAGTCCTTTTTAGTGCTAATTGAATTCTATCGATCAAGTTACTGTGTGGCCACTATTTCAAGTGACTCGACTTGTCTAGCATTATTTTGAGATGCTAAATAGTTGGAACTAATTGATAACAAACCTTGGATTTAAGTTTTGTGCTATTTGGTATTCATCAACAAGGTGTACTTGTGATCTTAAAGGAACTGATACTTTCTGAAGGATTCAATCCTGTTTTACACTGTTCAGCTCCACCGTGGCCACGTCTTTGACTTTGAATCTGGGTGACACAGGATGAGATCCGTTAGGAAGCAACAGTACCCTAAAGATTACAGTCACACATCTGCGACGAGTACTAAATAGGACGAAACCCAAATTAGGCAGTGTTTCTTGTCAATTACCTTCAACCTTCACCCTACAATTGAGCTTATTTACAACAAAGTTTGTCATGATTAGTAATAACATCAGGTCATTAAAATTGGAGTATTGTAAAATGGGTTGTTGATGAAACCAAAGACTTCCAGGTATCACGGCAAGTACTTAACCTTTAGACCGCTAGCCTGGCATCTAATGATTTACACGCCTAAATTTCATCAGTTCACGATATTGCGCAGTCATCTGAGCAGTCCCATAGCAGGATAAAACAGCTACCCAGTGCTTTTTAAATTCGGTGCTGTGTTTTTTAAACGAGATGGTTTGGTTGTGAAGCTTTCATTGTTCTTTTGGGCAACATCATCAGCGCGTTATTCAAAAAAGAGCTTTCAGAATCTCTCCACAATTGACTAGCAGATTGTTTTATCGACATAGAATTTGATTAGTTGTCCATAGGTGAGTGGTCGCTATTTGTTTTGATTGTTTCCTCGCGTAACTTGATTTCTGATCTCTCGGTTTTCGGTCTTTTTTCATATCTACTGATAGATTTGGTCGATTTTGATACATATTTTGATTAATTAATGATTAGATGAAGTGTAAGGCTTTTGAGAATTCTCTGGCTTTCTTTGTCTTACCACTGTCTCCTATGTCAATGTTTTTTCAGTCAAACTCATATCCATGGTTGTCCATATGCAACCGAAGCTTTATGGTGATGTTTAACATCTTACTGACGCTCATCTAGGTTTAGACAGCGGGTGATCACTTCATAATATGAAGTGTTTGTCTCTATTACTGTAATTTATCTTGTAAATGATACTCATCCTGTCTTTATTTGTCGTTTTGTCCTTTGGTTTGCACATTGTCAATCGAAACCATCTTGTAGGCTTCAATTATTCATAGCGGTCTTAATCATCTGTTTGTCATTTGGAAGCTATTCCTTGTGTAGAGTAAAATTATCCATTTTCTGATTGTTTGTAATTTATTTTTTTATTTTTTTCTAATGATTGATTCAATAAACAATTCATGATGAAGTTTTGTGGGTAATCATTCTCTTCAAATTACATCCACTAAGTATTTTCTTTTCATTTCTTCATGTAGTGGCAGTATCGCAGTGTGTTTTCATTGTTTTGAATGAGGTTTGTATACAGCTTGTTCTATAAGTCATTGCGTTGTTACATTTTAGTTGTACATTTAGTCGGTATGCGTTAGCTTATTATATACTTGAATTCCAAGTTTCACTGTATTATTTCTGGTGATCCGTATGTCCAAAAATGGTAGTTTGTTGTCTGAATCTATTTATAATGTGAATTTTATTTCATCGAGTACGTTGTTGGTCAAATTGTCGGTGCTCTCCATCGGACTCTTTTTGATAATGACATATGTGTCATTTAAATGGTGAATCCAATTTCATTGAAATCAATGTCAGACCAACATTAAAAACGTGGAAGCACTGTATGACCGTTTCACCCCAGTATGCGACTCCTCAACAGTACGTATCTACTACCCTACACGCGGCGACTGAACCCAGGATCTTCGGTCTCTTGCAAGAACACTTGACCTCCAAACCACTGAGCCGGTGTTATATCTTGCAACCGCCAATTAGGGATCAGTGGATTATCGATCGGACCAAGAACGCGTAAACACGTGTGAGCAACCTATATTTCTGATTCGTCCTGCTTTCCACCTAGCCCAGCCAGTTAAGTCCAGAACACCAGTCTCATCCTCTGTAACATGAATCCTTATATTTCAGACAGGGCATAATTCAAGAATGGTAAAACGTATAATAATGGTTCATAGGTCAAAATAAGGTTTATAATAAGAGGAATATGAATAGTTTAGTTATCTAACAATTAAATGATAAAAATATACGTTTAGTATTGGTCCATAAACGGATCCCAAAGTCACCATTCATTATGTTTATCGGGACATAACAGCCGGAATCCTACGGTGTTTTTCTCTAACCAATAAATTCATCTTCTTCCAATACTTTCGTTAGGTAACTGTCTGTCACCCGACACTAGAATCCCTAGAATTTCTTCTCGAATCTGGTCACTAATATGCACATAATAATTATCAGTATATAGTTGTATAGATTCTTGGGTTTCCTTATAAGTAAGACTATGATTTCCAGCCTCTACGTAACTCATTTTCAATGGTTATCTGATTAAGGTCATTTTTTGACGGGGAACGATGAAATCGAACAATATCTTCAACCCCCCTTACCCTGTAATAATAATTAATTGTGTTTTTCAATACTTCATAATATATATATCTTAATATTATTTTCTTGTATTGTAATTGACAGTTTTGAAGAGATTAAACCATCTATACCTATTCAACCAATTCCAGATAATGATAATGAAATAAAACTACCTGGTGATTATTTATCAGCATTAGAATTTGTTAAAGCATCTAAATGTTTATTGCATTTTCTTGATCGATTAAATAATAATACTAATAATCAAACTAATTGTAAATTATCAACTACTTCACGTACTTTTATTGCATTACAACAAATTCATCATCGTTTATTAACTTATTTAAATTGTATTGAATTACATGTTGAAATGCATACTTCCACAACAATTATTATTAATGATCATCATAATCATACTACTGATATGAATACTACTGTTATCGGTGGAACAGATGAAAACTTATCAATTGACAATAAACAGAATCATCATGATACAAATGTAGACAATCATTGTAATATTTTATTTAAAAAAGCTCAACTCAGCTTAGGTTATCTTTTACGATATGAAGTGAAACATAAAGAATCTATTCAAGAAAATAATAATTCAGTTTATATGGCTATTCTGTGGTTATGTAGGTAAGTGTATTTGCATTCGTATTTTTTATTTCTCTGGTTGAAATCATGAGTTAATTGAAGCTAGACCACCATGGGAAACCTGGAAGCACCGGACGGCCGTTTCGTCCCAGTATGGGACTCCTCAGCGGTGCGCGAGACTGATAGGTCTTGGGTTCGCATCTCGCAAGAGGCGGGATCGTGGATGCGCACTGCTGAAGAGCCCCATACTGGGACGAAACGGCCTTCCAGTGCTTCAGGGTTTCCCATGGTGGTCTAGCTTCAATTGACTCATGATTTTAATCAGTGAAATTTCTAAAAATCTACACAAAACCCATTCTGATATTTTTTATTTATTTATTTTTAAAAAATAGGATAGTTTGGCTAGCAATAAAATCCAGGTGGGGTATTTCATCCTTAGCTGGATATATTTTCATCTCCAAGTGAAGTTGATATTCACTCTGGGACTTTTATTGTGTTTGTGTATGAGTTAACTATCACGTAAATTATATGGTCAATTTCAAACAATTATCTCTTGACCACTGGGGTTACGTTCTTCACTGTAATTCTTCTCTGTAATCTAATGTTTTTTTTGGAGGCAACTCAAGAAAAAATGATCACTGTTATGACTTTATGTCCGGCTTTTTATCACGTGATTTATCCACCAATTAAAATACGACTTATACAATCTTCGCACTGTGACAAACCGATGACGTTCGACCGGTATGGGCAGTCTAGCGTCCTTATCGGTCCTATGTTCGCCTAGCCCGTCCACTTGAGTCCAGAACACCAGAAACTAGCTTCCAATATGCAAATCGAATCGAATCATTTATTTCAGACATATTAGGTTTATACATCAACCAAACAGACCGCAACGCACCATATAATAGGAAATAAAATTTGTACACAATAAAGCCAAAAGGTGAATGTGAACGTGGGAGGCAGTAGTCAATAAACTGAACATAACTTAAAAACCGTAAATCGTACAATAATAAATTATAAGTCTAAATAAAGCTTATAATAAGAGGAATATAAATATACATAATCTAATTATTGAGTAATTATACCATAAGAATGTATAGATAATATTAGTCAATTTAATATATCTCAGCAGAAGTTACTCGTGATTTAATCTTCGCTCGGATATAACAATCACCGCCTTCATACCTTTAGTGACACTCGAAGTCACCATGTTTAAAATCATACACCGGCTTAGTTACTTAATGAGTATACTGGTGTTGATGTAATTCGATAACCAAGTATAGGTGTGTGTATGTTTGCAAGTAGATATAGTTGTGTAGTTCGGACCTAATACTAACAGAGAGTTCAATACCTCAATAACTCATCCGGTCTTGATTCATGGTTACCAGTAATATAATATTTTGTCTGAAATATACTTTACTTTTCCATGAGTACTATCTCACTATACTGATAAAATTAGTAAATAAAGTAATAATCTGTGTACGTTTGTTTGCTCCTTAGTCTTAATTAAATTCTATCGATCAAATTGCAGTGTGGTCAATCACGATCATAGCTGCTACCTTGAAGTGATGGTCTGGCTTGCCTGTCATAATTACTCAAACGATCTGTATAGGCCGAAATGCATGTAATTTTCAAGTTCTACTGCGCTAGGCAGATCAGTTGGATAATGGTAAGACTAGAAGCAGCAACTTAAGGTCCAAAGGTAACTTGAACTGATAGACGTACGTACCAGGTTTTACTGTGCAACTGACTGACTGAATGTGATCAGTTGCTATTATTTATCACTTAATGATCAATCTGCCCAAAAATCTCAGTCCTGCAGAAGGTTGATTGCTACCCAAAATAAAGAAATATACATTTTTGATAAGTGTTAATTATCACAAAAATTAATCCATCATAATTTCTCACTAATTAGCTCCAACCACATAAAGTTCTTTCTAATCACTTATACGTTCTATAATCGAATCCTTTTATTTCATATTTTAAAAGCTTTTGTGACTATGTTCTATACGTAAATAATTTGTTTATTATTATGCTTGCGGTCTGAAAATGTCTTATTACTTCCATTTAATCTGAAATGTATGAAAAGTGAATGCGCGGCAGTCCGTTCTGTTTTAATTTACAGCAGCGAAACATGGCCATTAAGAGTAGAAGACACTCGTAAGCTACTATTATTTGACCACAGATGCCTTAGAAATATTGCTGGCGTCTACTGGGATCACTGAGTAAGTAATAGTGAGATTAGATGCAGAGTATTAAGGAATGATGGTAAATCAGTTGATGAGGTTGTGAATCTTTATCGACTGAGATGGTTGGGCCACGTGTTGCGTATGCGTGAACACCAATTACCACAACGCACAATGCTAACTAGTGTAGGGGATGGTTGGAAGAAAGTTAGGGGCGGCCAAACCAAAACGTGGCATCAGTCCAAAAAGTCACCAACTTCTAGTCTGAGACATGTTGAGAGATGCAGATTACTTGGTTGGGATCTGCGTGATTATCATAACCAATGGTTGGAGATTCTTGGTGACATGGCTCAGAATCGATCACAATGGAGTAGGTGTATACACTCGGTGTCTTCCCTTAAACTAAGAGATTAAAATCGCTTCATATCTTTCTTTCTACGAACTAATTCTTTCTCCCTGTATTATATCCTTATATGCAATCTTTCTTTTATATATTACTACCATAGAAGTAACTTCTCCCATGAATCCGGTGTTCATCTTGTTGTGTTAATGAGGTATGGCAACTTGGACCGATGTATATATGTGCCTGGTCCTACGTTGTAGCTGACTGACTGACTGAATAAGTGAAGCCGTTAATAATAATAATAATAATAATAATAATAATAATAATAATAATAGCTTGCTTCACGGAGATGATTTTTTTTCAATCATTTTCACGATATAGAAATTGTTACACTCTTTCTGCTTAACTTGTTACATAACGAATAAATTTTGGCAAATAAATTAACGAATTCTAATGATAGATGGATTGATTACTGAGTAATAACCTATGTTATGATTGTCTATTCTTTATTGATGATCGAATTCTGTCGATCAAGTTTTATACAATTTTACTGTTTGTCTAGTTGACTTAAGTCAATACAGATGCTGATGTTATGCTCAATCTACTAGCTAAAAATGACAATTCAGTTGAATAAGTAATAAATCTTCATCAACTAAGGTAGTTGGGACGTGTGTTACGTTTACCCATCGTCCGCTTGCCTCGATGCTCGATGTTTTCTAGTTTAGGAGTAGGTTGGAAGAAAGCTAGAAGTTGGACCAAACCCAGATATAATATTAGTATGTGAAATCACTGAGAATTGGACTAAACTGTGTTAAGTAGTACGAACCTCCTAGTTGAAGTCGTTAAGTTGTATGCCTCGTAATCGTCTGCAGTGATGCAAATGTACTCATCAACTGTTTTCCTTTTGACTTTGAGTTTTAAAGTTGGCTCATAGTTTTTTATTCCATAAATGGATTTGTTCTTCTTGAATCATCTTCCCTACCCCCAGTGATATTATGATCACTTTTACTACTGTGGTATTCATCTTGAATTGATATTATTCTCCTACCAAAAGAGAATCGGTCTGAAATTAGTTCTTATTATTACTATAAAACACTTGAAGATAAGAAATAATGACTAGTATAATCTGTAAATCAATGAATCTGGGTTAACAAATACACTCAACTGGGGGAGGGTATCATTTACCTAACTACTTTCTGGACTATACCAAATACTTCGTTCCTTTTTTTGTATAATGCGTAAAACACATAAACTTAATGTGTATTTTACCCAGTTATGATCTTTATTTTTTTTTTAACAAACAATCTATTATTGATTATTGTCGTCACCTAATATTCATCTACTCAATAGATTTTTTCACTTAACAACGTTAAAATGAATATCTAAGCAAATAATCATTAGAGTTTCCATGTATATATTTGTCAAAGCATAAAAATATGTGAAAGATCGATTATATATATTTATATTTATACAAAGTTAATTATGCTTTGTGTAATTTTATTAATTATCACATATGCATACCCGTACACCCACCCACACTCACACACTGGTGAATCAACATTTGGCATTCCCTGACAAGATCGCATGATAGAAAGTTTCTTCAATGAAATAAATGTTATGGGGTAAATCAATTACAGTAATTAATTACACATTACATGTGTGTATGTGTATTTGATTGAATTGAATGTAAATTATTGACAGAAAAGACAATATCACAATCATTTTTTTTGATGTATGATGACAACACATGAGAATTCATTATGCATGGATTAGAACAGAAATTAAAATACGGTGTTTAACCACAGATTATTTTTTTGTATGTGTAGATAACTAGATAAATGACAGTATTATATTGTGCTCTAAAGTTTGTGAAGTTATGGCGTAGGTGTTAAGTTGTTTGAATTTTAGTCACCAAGTCACGGGTTCGAATCCCACACAGAGCTGGCTTTAATTTTGCCAGTCAAGTAGTATTACTAATTCTCACATAATCAGTTGTAATTAGTATGGCACCTTGCATAAGTGTGCATAATCGGTTCACGTTCCCATATTACACTACTAAATCAATGTGGAACAACCAACGAATTACTGTAATAAGTAATATCATTGATATTTAGAAAAAGGTTAAACATAAAGTCAGTTGTTTCAAAAGGACTGAATTCATGGAAAAAAGTATAATTTGATGCCGAAACTGAAAATCTAAGAGACAACAAAGAATAAATTTGTGTGTGGCAATGCAGCCACCTGGCGTCTCCTATCGCTGATCATGATTATCGTACGAATCTCACCATATAGCTTGAACCAACCAAAATGCCTCAAACCAACAGCATATAACTTCCTTGACTTTATAATTCAGCTTTTACCTAGTTTTGTTCTAACATACACTTACTCTGCCGAGTATTTCTTGTCAAAATGGAAGGTGTTTGTGCATACACAACTTATTTTATAGTTACTTTATTTAACTAATATTATGTTTTATCAATTATCTTTACTACGCAAAAAAGTCATCATTACTT